TTTTTTTTTTGGTTGCAGCCATCATTGTTGTTTGGCGGGCCCAGGCTGGATTCAAATCTGCCACCTTAGGTGTATGTGGCTGGCACCTTAGTCACTTGAGCCACAGGCGCCGAGCCAATTTCCATCATATTCTTAAAGGAGTCTGTAATCCAATAAAAATTAAGAACCACTGATCAAAATGATTATTCCTCCATTCAAACAATCCTCTTGGGAAACAAAAGACTTACTTTAATAATGCTGCCAGGATTGAATGAATTTTCAGAACTACATGAGTGAAAATATCAAGTTAAATTCTGACTTTTAATTAATCATGTCTTACCTTTTCCTATTCCAAAAATACTTTTAAAGGGAAAAAGAGGTACATAAATACTTAAGGTAAACAAAAATTAAGGAAGCTGCTCTAAATGATATACCACCATTTGTCACACATTTCACGTGCTGCCAACAACTCAAATGTAGCACAAAAAGCACAATCAAGTACAGCTACACCAGTTCAAAACTTCAGGTCATCTGACCCTGCCTTCCCTTAATACTTATTTAGTAAGTCAATATGTCTGTTTATGGCTTTCTTTAAAATGTTGCTCAAATCTATTTCATTCTGCAGCCATTTTATACTCCAAGGCCATACATATCACATGACACCTAAATTACTTCATTGCTTTTTCTGATCATTCCCTTCTTTGGTCTGCAATTGTCCCTTGTTCTCCAGAGAATCTAGATCTAGCCTCCGTGGCCCGCCATTCTAGGGCTCAATTAGCCTGTCTCCACTTAATTTTGGCACTTAAATCATGCCTGGCACTGTTCTTAAACTAGGTCATGTATTTTGCACTGAGTGAGAAATCAGAAGCTTCACAATGGCAGTGTCTTGCCACTGAGCTATGGAGAAAAATGTTTCTGCAGCCTTGTTATTCAATGCAGGATATCCCAACCATGACCCATTACACAAAGTGCTACATCTTCCCTTCCTGAAATATCCAGGGAGCCAAGCCACACAGCCGGAGGCTAATGCCAAATGACAGACCTCCACATCAATGTTCAGTATTGTTTTGCCATTACATTAACATTTTCTCCCCAGTGTGATCATTTCTGCTCTGAAAAAGCTTGCCAACTCATAGTAGGGACTCAATCAATGTTGCCTTAGACTTAGATTCAACAAGTTTTGAAGAGTGGGCACTTCTAAGTGCTAAAGGGATAAGAGGACTCTGCTATGTCTAAACAGGCAAAAATATTAGGAATTATTAGCAGCTGCATCACCCTATGACTGATCCAAACATGATGTGTTTTTCCAGATCAAAAGTTTTCATAAGTAATATTGCAAATTAAACCGAAGTTATAGTGTTGCTAATATTAAAAAAAAAAAAACAGAGACAAGCCTGAGAGTTACAGAAGAATAAGAAAATAGAGGAAATGTAGTTATGAGAGAAACAGCACAGGAGGTAGTTCATATACAGTACAGAAATTTAAAAACTCAGTCTTTTGCCCTTTCTCTATCAATAAGCAGCCCTGACACCACCAGAAACTCTCCTTACCACTCCTAATCTTAAGTGAGGGTAACTCTGGATCATTTTGAATCTTCCTGTCTCTTAAAATTCTGGTTGTTACACAACTCATTTTAATGATTTAGTAAACAGATTTTGAAGGTTTGGTTACTTAATAATTCTCTTAAGGTTTTCTTCCTTACCGTCATATAATGAACTTCTTCAGGATGTTCAAAAGCAATAAATTCTTCAAGACTTAAAGCAGGATCCGAATCTTGGTTAGCTTTTTCAAATCGCTTCTTGTCCTTTAAATGAAGCTTTCAAAATTAAAAAAGTTTGAACATGTTTAAAGGTATCATTAGTACCATGTCATCTGAAACACTCTGAGAATCACAAACTGTGAATCTAACACACGTTCTCACACAATTCTCTGCACATCATCCCTTTGAAAGTAGGCGAGTAAATACTAACAAACATTAGAGGCAGTACAGAGACACAAGCTCTCAAGTCATGCAGCCCCAGATCTGAATTCCAGCAATGCCACTTACTAGCTGTGGGAAAACTGCTTAACCTCTCTTTTCCTCATTTATAAGACTGGCATTAAAAAAACTTTATTAAGCAATTGGAATAAGAATCCCTATCACGTAATTAGCAAACCTTAAGTATTTAATAAGTGATATATAGTACCTTTTTTTTTTTTTTTGAGACGAAATCTCACTTTGTCACCCTCAGTAGAGTGCCATGCATCACAGCTGACAGCAACCTCAGACTCTTGGACTCAAGCAATCCTCTTCCCTCAGCATCCCTAGTAGCTGGAACTACAGGCATCCACCGCAACACCCAGCTTTGTTTAGACTTTGAGTCTCATTCTTGCTTAGACTGATCTAGAACTCCTGAGCTCAAGCAATCCACCTGCCTCGGCCTCCCAGAGTGCTAGGATTACAGACATTGAACCACCACACTGGACCTATAGTACCATTATTTATTGGAAAAACTGAGATTTAATGATTTGATGCAAAGCCAGAAATATAGATGAAAAAATACTGAATTTGGATCCTCCCTGCTCTTTCTATACAGAAAGTACTATACAGTCTTTAATAATTTCAATGCTTTTTGTCAATGACCAAAAAGCAATAAATTCAGACCATGTGTTACATCTTGATAGGGCTTTTAAAAATTATTTCTGAGTCGAGGCACAGTGGGTTATGCCTGTAATCCTAGCACTCTGGGAAGCTGAAGCAGGATTGCTCGAGCCCAGGAGTTTAGGTTGCAGTGACTTATGATGACCCCACTGCACTGTGGCTCAGAAAAAAAAAAAGTTTCTGAAAAATTGTCCTCTTATTTGAGAATGTCACACTATTAGTATATGTACCTAATATTTCAAGGCCTATTCTAAGCAAGCTCTTTATAATACTAATTCTGTATATTTAGACATAAACATGTATAAAGTTTAAATGGATCCCATTATGAGGCTATTTAAACACACACCTTTTTCTATTTTCTCTCCTATCATCTTCACTTCTTTTCTTCTTTCTTTTCCTTTTTTTTGCAGGTTTTGGCTGGGGCCGGGTTTGAACCTGCCACCTCCAGTATATGGGGCTGGCGCTCTACTCCTTGAGCCACAGGTGCCGCCCTCTTCTTCTTTTTTTTTTTTTAAAGTATGTTCAAGTAGTAAAATGGTTCTTGAGCTATACAAGAACCATTTTGGTAAGTTTTTCAAAGGTAATTCTGTAACCAAGAGTGTTATACTGCTAATCCTGTATAATTTCTATTTTTGAAAATTTCTGGGAATAGCTTTTCTTCTTATAAACTGATATTATATTGCACTTTTTTAAAAAAGCACCAATTTCAAATATTTTAGAAACTTATGTGTTTCAAAGTTGGAAAGAAATGTTCTTTACAGTTTCCTAGGATAGAAGTTAGGTAACAGTCACTTACTAACACTAGTTCTTTTACAATTATTGATTTAGAGTGGAGAAGCTCATCTCTTCCCCCAAAGAATTTGTCTAATAAACATCCAGACTTCATAAGCCAGTTATACTCACTCAATCATGACAGAAAAGAAAAAATAATAATTTATTTCCAAATAGCTGCTTTCAACTTAATGTTTCATAACTTTAAATAAGTAGACCATATAATTTGCATTTTATGTTCAGGTTTAACCTGAGGGGAAAGTAGACAAGAATTTGAGGTACTTTGTTGAGTCAATCAAGTTCTTTTTGAATGAACCACTATTCAAAGTACCAAGTGCTTAGATTTCCTTATGAAAGAACCCTTCAATTTGGAGCAAAAAAAGTCCCTGTTTCAGCAGAGGGAGCTAAATTTGGCCAAATTTGCCTATGGAAAGAAAGGATCTCTTTCAACAAACTGAGATTTAAAAAAAAAAAGCTTTCTGGTTCACATTTCAGAGCTATTTGAAGAACATGATTTAAGAGTAGCTCACATTAAATTTAAAAAGCAAAAACAGACTGTTCTTTCAAAGTAGCAAATTCCTAAAAAATAACAAAAAGATGATTAGTTTCATAAAGCCTCAACATTCTTTGTCTCGTTCTGTATGAAAAACCTTGCATGCTAGCACAGTAATAAAAAGAAAATACCATAATTGCTATTTTTATATTGTGACAGAAACATGTAAGGAGCAAAACTGCCATCTTTTGGTAGACTAATGACTTTACATGAGGAAATACATAATCTGTGATACCAGAGCAAAAGTCTAGGTCTCAAAAATTCTGATAAGCCACATGCAAGGTTATATCTTACATAAGTAAAATCTGCTTATACATGCACATTCACAGCTGACTTTTGAAGTTAAGAACACTTGAACTTTTGCCAGATAGGTCCCCACATTTTAATGATCCTGCTTGAAAGTGCTGACTGTAATTGTTCATCATATTATAAAGAAATGCTTTTTTAGGCATTTCAAAGCTTGGAAGGGTCAGGTTGTTTCTATTCTCTATATGGAAACTTATTAAATATAAGATAAAATTTATGTATTGGGTTGACTTCTGTCTTTTAATAGACATTCATATTGAAAATTTAACTTTATTTTGATATCCAATTACTTGTACAATTATTTTATTTATGGTATATTGTTTGACCTGTAACTTTAACTGAGACAGATTCATTACTTACCCATTATTTTTTATTAAAAAATTTTTAAACTAATTTTTGATACATAATAGTTGTACATATTTTGTGGATACATGTGCTATTTTGATACAAGCATACAATGTGTAACGACTGAATCAGGACAACTGCGGTATCCATAACCTAAAGCATTGATCATTTCTTCGTGTTAGAACACTCTAATTACAATTATTCTTTTACATTTTGAAGGATAACACATTGTTTTTGGTTTCATCTTTACATGCCAGATCCATTTTTAGGAGGTTATTTTATAAGTAAAGAAGGTCTCACTATGTTGCTCAAGCTGGCCTTGAACTCCAGGACTTAGAAGATCATCCCACCTCAGCCTCCTGAGTAAGCTGGACTACAGAAGTTTACTTTACTAAATTCTAAAAAAGTATGATTAGAACTTCACAAAGATAGACATATTTTGGACTGTCAAAGAATAACCGATAGGACTTCCATTGAAAATGTTCATGTCAGTGATCCATTAATTCCTTTCGGCTATTAAGAGTCACTTAACTCGGGCAGCGCCTGTGGCTCAGTGGGTAGGGCGCCAGCCCCATATACTGAGGGTGGCAGGTTCGAATCTGGCCCTGCCCAAACTGCAACAACAAAATAGCTGGGTGTTGTGGCAGGTGCCTGTAGTTCCACCTATTCATGAGGCTGAAGCAAGAGAATTGCCTAAGCCCAGGAGTTGGAGGTTGCTGTGAGCTGTGATGTTACAGCACTCTAGGAGGGCAATAAAGTGAGACTATGTCTCTGGAAAAAAAAAAAAAGATTCACCTAACTCATTCTTTAAAAGTAGTCTTAGAATCAACATGTACTAATTGGATGAGAACACAGCATTAACACGTTGACTGCCATATTAGAAGAAAAATTTTTTCTTTGGGGCCTGGGCATTTTGTTAGGTCAAATACATTAACTACTATGTGAGTTGTATTTAACTCATACTAGTTTTGAGCCCAGGGCCTTGTGAAACATGTATAACTCACTTTTCTCTTGACCTATATAAAACACTGTGGCCCCAAGGGGAAAAAAAATTTTTTTCTAGTGTGGCTGTCAATGTGCAAGAGACATATGAGTTATATATATGCTTCATGAGGCTCCAACCTAGCTTAAGTTACATACAACTCACAGAGCAGTTAATGTCTTAAACCAGGGGTCCTCAAACTTTTTAAACGGGGCCAGTTCACTATCCCTCAGACTATTGGAGGGCCGGACTGCAGGCCTCAGGATGAGTCGGGGGCTAAGCAGGACAGGCAGTGGCAGCAACATCTGGCGGGCCGGATAAATGTCCTCAGTGGGCCATAGTTTGAGGATACCTATACATCTGTTAAAAGAATTCCTCATAAATAGTTCATATTAATGACTCATGTATCTCTTCAAAGTGAAGATTTTCTTCTCAACACCATCATCTATTATATTACCCTCTCCCAAGAATATAGACCTATTATTTTTTGATGAGATAGTAATTACATCTCTTTGGTGATGGGGCGGGGGGGGGGCGGAGTATCATTAGAATCTAATTCTAGTAAGAGTTTAAAATAGTCTCACTCCTCTATTGCTCCCTGGCAGGGAAGTCATCATACTACGGTTTGGTTTTAGAGAAGTTCCAGAACTCTAGTGATGCTTTTAATATAAGTTAATTTCTACAGTAAATTATTTAAAACCACCTTTGAAATATGAAATTATTTCAAATAGTAACTTCTTAAGCTCATAGTCATTTATATTGATAAACTTTTAGTTTAACAAACTTCTTAGAGATCTTAAAAGATTCCTATTAATTCCTAAATAAAAATTGTCTTCCTCAGCTCTGCTTAATTAAGCAGCATATATTTCAACAAATTAAACCATGAGACACAATAAAACTCACAGAGATACAAAATCTTCAAAAACGGGTTATTTTAAATGATGTGGCCACTATGGAAAATAGTACTGTGATTTACCCCCAAAATTAAAAATAGAATTGCCACGTGATTCAGCAATCCCACTTCTGGGTATACACCCAGAAGAATTGAAAGCAGGATCTCAAAGAAGATTGTACACCATGTTCACGTTCACAACAGCCAAAAGGTTAAAGCAGTGATTTTCGACCAGTGGACTATGAAAATTTTTAAACATCACTAATTAAATTATTTTCTTTTTTTTTTTTTTTTTTGAGACAGAGCCTCAAGCTGTCCCCCTGGGTAGAGTGCCGTGGCATTACAGCTCACAGCAACCTCCAACTCCTGGGCTCAAGCGAGTCTCCTGCCTCTGCCTCCCAAGTAGCTGGGACCACAGGCGCCCGCCACAACACCTGGCTATTTTTTGGTTGCAGCCGTCATTGTTGTTTGGCGAGTCCGGGCTGGGGATTCGAACCCGCCACCTTAGGTGTACGTGGCTGGTGCCTTAGCCAGTTGAGCTATAGGTGCCGAGCCTAATTAAATTATTTTCAAAGGAAGTTCAAAGCACAGTAAGTATATTCTTTTTTTTTTTTCACTTTTTTTTTTAAATCAACATAATTTAAGTGTACCATGGAAGTTTAACTATAGGTTCAAGTGTGTCGTGAGATAAAAAAATGTTGAAAAACACTGGGTTAAAGCAACTCAAGGGTCTATCAAAATAAGAATGGATGGCTTGGTGCCTGTGGCTCAAGCAGCTAAGGCGCCAGCCACATACACCTAAGATGGCGGGTTTGAATCCAGCCCAGACCTGCCAAACAACAATAATGGCTGCAACCAAAAAATAGCTGGGCGGGCGCCTGTGGTCCCAGCTACTTGGGAGGCTGAGGCAGGTGACTCGCTTGAGCCCAGGAGTTGGAGGTTGCTGTGAGCAGTGAAGCCATGGCACTCTACCCAGGGGGATAGCTTGAGGCTCTGTCTCAAAAAAAAAAAAAAAAAAAGAATGGATGAACAAAATTTGATATATACAGGTAGGATATACCTTATCCTAAATGCTTGGGACCAGAGTGTTTTGGATTGCAGATTTTTTATTGCATTTTGGAATACTTGCATTATACCTACCAGCTGAGTTTCACTAATCCAAAAACCAAAATGCTCCAATGAGCATTTCCTTTGAGTATCATGTCAGTGCTCAGAAAGTTTTAGATTTGGGAGCATTGTAGATTTGGGGTTTTTAGATTAGGGATACTCAACCTTTACATACAATAAAATATTATTTGGCTATAAAAAGGAAATTCTGACACATGCTACAACACAGACAAACATGAGGACATTATATTAAGTAAACAGCCAGTCACAAAAAGACAAATTCTACTTAGATGCAGTACCTAGTAGTCACATTCCTACAGACAGAAGAAAAGGTGGTTGCCAGGGGCTGTGGGAGGAGGGAATGGGATTTATTGTTTAATGAGTATAGAGTTTCAGTTTTGCAAGATGAAAAGAGTTTGGGAGATAGATTGCGCAATAATGTAAATGTATGTAAAACTACTCAACTATGTATTTTAATATGGGTGAGATGGTAAATTTGTTATATAATCCTCCCTCAGTATCCATGGGGACTGGTTCCAGGACCTTCCTTGGATATTAAGATATAAGAATGCTCAATCCCTGATATAAAATGGCACAGTAAGCCTATGCACATCCTCCCGCATGCTTTAAATCATCTCTAGATTACTCATAATATCAATTACATTTAAATCCTAAGTAACTAGTTATACTTTATTGTTTAAAGAATAATGAAAAGAATGTACATATTGAGTACAAAAGTAATTTTTTTCAAATATATTTGTTTTCATTATACCTGTGACAGCAGCTTGAACTGCTAGATTAGGGCCACAGCCATCTTGGAAGTGGCCCCAGTGATGCCCCTAGCCAGCATGTCCTTGGCAAAGGAGAGCAGGTTTGGAGAACAGAGGGAAGGCACTGCTGGCTCAGCTCTGCTACTGTGGGGATGGAAAGGTTCAACACAAATTTCAGAGGGAACAAAAACAGTCAGCCATAGCAGGCAGATAGGCAAAAAAGGGATACAAAGGAAGCTACTACTAACAGTGAAAGAGCTAAGGAAAAAGAAACAAAAACAGAGAAACAGTCCAGAATGACCTACAGGACCTGGGAACCTCCTAAAACTCTTCAGTAACATTCACATTCCATCGCAGGAGTTTTTCCTGTATCAGTTCACTTTTGCCTGATATGCTTTTTCTCACCTTCTATCTCCCTGGTGGCACATCTACTCTCCCCCCCCCAGTGCTGCTTCTTTTGGATTCATGTGACCTCTGGGAAAAATACAATCCATTTTGGAATTGAGTGTAACAAGCTAGACCTTTGAGACTGCCTCTCCAAAAGGTAACACCTGGTCTCTACTCTTAAATTCTACTTGTTCCCAAAGAGAGAGAGGTGTCCCACATGATCTGGCTAAATCAACTCCTATCTGGCCCTCACTTAATAGTGGAATTGGAACAGTGTACGGCTGGCATAGCAACAGACATTATCTATTATCTGCTCTGCTAGAGAGGCCACACCTCACACTCCGGCTGCAAATTGCCTTCTTTGAAAGAATTCCCACCCATGTGCAATGGGGAAGAGAAATCTGTACTCCGAAGCTGTTTGCAATTTTCCATAGATGTTAATAACATTTGTTAATTGTCTAGTACAGATCTTTTATATCTATGCAGATATTCTGGCTGCTGCTTATGATCAATTACTAAGATGTTTCATAAACTTTTTTTTTTTTTTGAGACAGAGCCTCAACCTGTCACCCTGGGTAGAGTGTCGTGGCATCACAGCTCACAGCAACCTCCAACTCCTGGGCTCAAGTGATTCTCCTGCCTCCGCCTCCCAAATAGCTGGGACCACAGGCGCCTGCCACACGCGGTTGCAGCCATCATTGTTGTCTGGCAGGCCTGGGCTGGATTCGAACCCACCAGCTCAGGTGTATGTGGCTGGCACCTTAGCCACTTGAGCCACAAGAGCTGAGCCATGTTTCATAAATTCTAAACAATCATAACATTATGGCTATATATTTCTCTAAGTTCCGTCAATTTTTGTCATGTTTTGAGACTATGAATCTATGATTGTTCTATCTTCCTAGCAGACAGATGTTTTATCATTACACAGTATTTTCTATATTTTTTTCACAGTATTTTTTTTTCTATCTTTAATAGAACTTTTGTCATAAAACCTACTTTGTCTGATGTTATCACTGCCCTGAAGATATGATTTTCACAGAACCAACGTTCATTTAGAATTTCTCATATATTTATTCTTTTCATTGCTTTTCATATTTACCTACATATCTCTGCTTCTACCTGGGATCTTTTTCTCTGCCTAAAGAACTACTTTTAATAGTTCCTTTATTTAATTAAATTAATTAATTTATAGACAGAGTCTCACTGTCACCCTTGGTACAGTGCCATGGCCTCATAGCTCACCACAACCTCAAATTCTTGGGCTCAAGTGACCTTCTTGCCTCAGCCCCCAGAGTAGCTAGGACTCCAGGTGGCCACCACAATGCCCTGCTATTTTTTTTTTAGAGATGGGGTCTTGCTCTCGCTCAGGCTGGTCTTCAACTCCTCAGCTCAAGCAATCCACTCTTGGCCTCCCAGAGTGCTAGGATTACAGGCATGAGCCACAGTGCCTGACTTTTTCCAAATATTTTTGATCTAAAGTTGTTGGTTGAACACACAGATTTGGAACCCATAGATAGAGAGCTGACTGTATGTATTTTACCAGTCATTTTTTTAAAAGGGAGTTATATAAAACTATGTGCTTAAAAATGGGCCACCATAGCCTTCTTAGCAAATATAAAACTGATGTTAAAAATAAATTATTGAAATACATATTCAAAATACAAAAAAAGCAAAGGACTACTAAATGATACAGCTGAGAAAAATAGAAAGTATAATTTAGGCAATCCAGAGTAAGAGTCCTAAATCTAGCTTTTTTTTTTTTTTTTTTTGAGACAGGAGCCTCAAGCTGTCCCCCTGGGTAAAGTGCCATGGCATTTCAGCTCACAGCAACCTCCAACTCCTGGGCTCAAGCGAGTCTCCTGCCTCAGCCTCCCAAGTAGCTGGGACCACAGGTGCCTGCCACAATGCCCGGCTATTTTTTGGTTGCAGCTGTCATTATTGTTTGGCGGGCCCAGGCTGGATTCGAACCCGCCACCTTGGGTGTACGTGGCTGGCACCTTAGCCACCTGAGCCACAGGCACCAAGCCCTAAATCTAGCTTTAGAAAGGAAACCATCAAAATGATTACTGAAGAGGAACAAACGATTGCCTAAAAAACAAAGCGATCCATCTATGACCTCAGGTCCTCTTGAGCTCATTCATGCAGGAGGGTAAAGTGAACTGATATGATCAAAAGGAACAGCTTGTCCACCTGTACTCACCTGCCTAAATGACTCCTCTTCTGCATCATCCAGAGCAGTGTTCTCATCAAAGTCAATCACACGATCATACATCTGAATGTTGTATTCGTCCCATGTCACACTACCATCATTGTTCTTATCATATTCAACAAACTGTTGTTTTGCTTCTTGCATAGCATAATGCTTGAAAGACATCTGAATCCAGGAACTGAGTTCACCTAAGAGAATTTCCCAGAACAAAATGTATGTGACAGTACACAAAGGAGGGAAGGTTTCTAAACCTTTTGAAAGAAGACAAAATCTTTCATATTTGCAAATACTGAGTGAGAATTGGCCTAGCAGTATTAGGGTATTAATGGAAATAGGGGTAGGTGGTGAGGGGACCTATTTGGAATCTAAGAATATTATAACATGTGATCTAAGTAGAATTTGAGTTCCATAAGTACGGAGAGTTTGGGTCTGTTTTATTTACACCAAATTCCTACAAAGTGCCTGGCTCCCTAAGTATTTGCTGAATTAATTACCAGCTGACCAACATTTTATTTTTTTATTCCAAAACATTGTAGGTAACTCTGCCTAAATATTACATATCTCTCAGGACACACAAATATTTGAATAACTACCTATTTTATATATGAGAAAAAATAGTGTTCTTCATTTATGAAGATAATAAACTTTTCCTTTAAAATAAATTTTATGAGTTGAATCAAAACTATATTAAGGAAATAACAGATGGTAAGTAGGTACGATCTAAATTGTGAATAGCTATTCAAGTTACTGAAGTTTGAGAAGCACTGTTACAGTATATTCCCTTTAAAGATGTCATAAAACATCTGGAGACAATTTTAGCCAAGTTATGAATAGCATATGCCCTTCTTACAATTGTTATCTTTCTTTATACCTCAAGACATGGGGGAAAAGTTTCTGTATCTCCAATGTCCACTTTCAGATTAACTTTTAAAAAATCAATTCACAGAAATATTTACCATATTGCATTATAAGGAAAAAGAGTGAGCTAAGAACATGAATATTTCTGAGGACAGCATGAGTATGCCACCTGGTTTAAAGGTAATATACCATTTGGTTTAAAGAGTGGCACTCGGCTCGGCGCCTATGGCTCAACTGGCTGGGGCGCCAGCCACGTACACCTAGGGTGGTGGGTTCGAATCCCCAGCCCGGACCCGCCGGGCAACAATGATGGCTGCAACCAAAGAATGGCCGGGCGTTGTGGTGGGCGCCTGTGGTCCCAGCTACTTGGGAGGCGGAGGCAG